TTTTGCGGATAAATCATTTTTTAGAAAAGTAAAATAACTTCAATGCTATAACTTTTTCATGTGTTAAGATAAATGAAGAATCACATTCAAAAACCACTCAAAAAATTTATTTTTAGCCGAGGACTAAAGATAAGTCATGTTTGAGAAAACAAAAGTCAATGTTCTTATTTTAATAACAATTCATTTTATATTAGTCCTTACTTGTGAATAAGTTTTTTGAATGGTCCTTAGATGTGATTCTTCCTAAGATAAAATAAAAGAGATGGAGGAAAAGAGTGTAAAATCTCCATTCATATCATAACACTTGACCTTAATAATATTACTCTACCATAATAATTAAGGATTAACCCACACATCAACCTTCCCATGGTGGAAAGGATTTAACTGTAATTAAAAGAGTTAATTATAGTAGAAAAGGAAAAGACTAAGATGGAAGGTCTAACATGATTAATACAATTGAAATCATAAATATAATATCAATTTGGAAGTATATAAATGGACATTTACCATGACAGAAAGAATTAAAACCATTTTTTACATACCAGTGTTTTAAAAAAGTTTGAAAATTCTTGTTTGATAAGTAAAACCATTTAATTAATGGGATTCCAAGTTTGAGTATGACTAAAATCATTTCAAATTAAGAAACCAAATAAATATCATAGTTTGCAAATAATTGGAAGCCTGGGATATCAATGACAAAAAAATATATTTGAAAACAAGATTAAAAGTCAAATTTAAACAAAAAGGTTTGTCTGCCATAGCCAATGCCACAATACATGATGTGCTACAGCTAACAATAAGTTGCATCATGCACTGTGGCAAAGGCATCATCCGCCACGACACATTACACAGTTTCAAACAACACTTTACTATCAAAATGTAAATATGAGGGCTAGAGTTGTGGTGCTTCCCAATCTTCATTTGTTGCTCAATTAAGGAGATCTAGATATTTATAGAAAGCTTATTCAATTAATTAGCTAATGGCACTAGTTTTATTTTCAACTAATTTCATGATATAAAATTAGGCACCTGAAACCACAATGACTATATTTTCACACTTTTGACACTTCAAGGTGTTCAAAACCTAACCAAAGTGGTGTCAAAACTCGATATCACACTTATGGAACTTAAGACAACTTGTACATTGTACTAGATTAATTAAATTCATCACAGAACTTAATTTTAATCCTCAACCCTACATTTTACCAAAATTACAAGGGAAAAGTTTTAATACCATTTCCTAAAACAACAACCACATTCAACAAAAACAACCATATCTATACTTGAACTAATATATTAGATCCTTTCAACACAATTTCTAATATAAAGATCATAAACTAAGGCCCAGCATACAACCCAAATTGCAACTTAATAAGCATGGTGCATATATGATAGAAATGATGTCTTAGTTGGCAATATCATATAAAATATGTATATGTTAACAAAATAAACAAGAGGCATACAGTAAGATATTCAATCCTAAACCTCATTTCCTTCCCATTTGTCCTAATCAGAGCTACCACCTGTAATATATGAAAGAGGGGTGAATATAATCACTCAATAACTAAAAAAACACTAAATAACCTGCTTACAAGTCAAACTAGTTAAGGCATGAAAAGTAGGCAATTTAACTCAATCACATTTGTATTACAATATCATATCTCAATAAATATGGAATGTATAATCAATAAGCAACCTTATCTCCTCCTTATATCGCCAACCAAATCTAAATGTTGGCAAATTAAATGGGATCTCATCTATGTGAATAGATTAGCCAAGCTTATCAATTGTGAGGAGCTACCTGGCTAATTTGCTATACTTACGCTTAGACTACGGATTCCTCCATACTCAAATCCTTGAGATGTTGCAAGCCCTATTCCATACCCAATCCAAGGTAATGTTAAGGGCACATAGTACAGATAAATTAAGCTTACACCCACTTTGGGGTTAGGTTCAGGAAGACCTGACCAAGTACAGGTAACCAATACTTATGCCTATTCTTAAGTGAAATTCAAGAAGACTTAACCCTAAACTAAACATTGGAGCCACCTATGGTGTTGTTAACATCCACATGGACATGAATAATACGGGTGGTTCACGGGACAAGACAGGATCAGGACACCCCCGTCCCGTGTCCTATCCTAAAAAAAGATCAAGACTAAATTTCGATCCTGTATCTCATCCCGTCCTGAAAGTCAACCTGTCCTATTAGGAGTTCGAATGAGATCGAGACAAGATTAGGACATCCTGCCATCCCAATAAATGGGATAATATTAAAAAAAAGATCTAAATAATAACGTTCATTAAAATTTTAAATCATATAATTTATTAAGTTTAAAATCAAAACAACACAAGTACATAAATTACAGCAATTTAATGTTAATTATTGAATTATATTAATCACAACTACATATTATAATAGCAAATACAAGTGATCTTTATGCTATAAGAGTAGCAATAACAAGTAAGTCAAACACAACATCAAATCATCATTCTTTTACTTTAGTAGAGATGTACTAAGCTAATTACTCTTCTGAAAATAAAGTAAGAAATATAAATAAAAGTTATTAAATAGATAGATATAAAGATAAATTATATTAATATAATTAATATATTATAAAAAAGATATCGCCATGTTTACTCCATGCCATTAAAATTATCAATATAAAAAAACTTTAGTTTTAAATAAGAATTACAAGTATTGAAATTATAATTAATAAAATTAATATAAGTATAAATTATATTAATATAATTAATATATTTAAAATAAAAAATAATATATATAATATTTGAGACGAGATGGGACGTCCCGATGGTAATCCCGTGTCCCGTCCCGTCTTATCCCGAACCTCTTTCCTATCTCATTTCATAAAGTCTGGTCTTGATTATTTTCTAGCAAGACAAGACCCGTCCTGACATGATGAGAATGATACCGGGTCAATTGAGATGAGTCCAAGCTAAACACCCCTATATAAATATGCCAATAACTCAATGCATCACATGAGCATCCTTAATTCATAATATGTAACATTCTAAAATTTTAAATCAATTTTTTGCCAATTATAAAATTTCACAAATTACCTTGTCCATTAAATGCATACCACGGTAGAAAAAAATCTACCATAGTGAGTAAAACTTAATTTTCAAAACACTGCCATGGTAATAAAAATTTACCATGGAAAAAAGACTAGTAATATTTTCAAACTCTACCATGGTAGAAAGAGGCTACCATGGTAATTAATAATCAAAATTATTTTTATACAATTTACCATTATAGAAAGAACTTTTTTTACAATATAATTTTTCTCAAATGGGGTTATCATGGTAGAAAATGATCTACCATGGTAAAAGAGTTAAACTTACTAAAAATAGAGGATTACCATAGTAATTTAGAGAAAAACTATGTATATTAAGATGAATTAGGTATTTAAAAATTTAAAACATGTGTATCTAATGAGATCCCATTGAAAACAAGTGATAATTTACTAATAAAATATTTTGCAAATAAGTCAAAAGTGAAACATGATTTATAGAGGCTAATTTGTCTAAACAAATTTATAAAAAGGTAAAAAGGTTAAAAAGAGCCACTCTATAAATAAATTTTTGAAACATGGCATTTTTAAAAAAAACCAAGCCATGCATTGTGGCTTGCTATCATGCACAGTAGCACATAGCATAAAGAAGGCAGTTCGTTTCTTGTAATGTGTAACATCCTGAAAATTAACCCCTTATTTACCAATTAATCAAAGGTAATTAAGCAAATAAAAAAGTATGTATTAGGCATGTGCGTGGTTTAAGGGCACTAATTGGCCTATTGGGTTCTGATTATAGTTTAACGTTTGGGTCCATAGTGGAGTTAGACCACTTGGGCCCTAAAAAATGAAGAAAACATGAATGGTATGCTTCTATATCACACGTCACAGCACGTGTAATGTCCATTGTGGTGCAAGGATCTAATAAATGCGAAGGATCCCCTCTATTCCACGTGTCATGGAGTGTGTGGTATGTGTTGTGACGTGTGGTCAATTTTTCAAATAACAAACGCAAGTCTGACTCGCAAAAAATAAAAGAGAAAGTGATGTTTAAGAGATAGGGATGAGAAGCTCGTGTTTGGGTTTGCTAGGGCTTGATGATTATAGCTTGTCAAAGTGATTCAAGCTTGTTTACACTAAAGTAAGCCCTTGTTAATCTCTCCTCTTCATCTCTACAACATTTATGAGTTAAGGTTTGCAGAGGATAGTTGATTTTTGAACTTTAGAGGTTATAAGTTTGAATCCACTAATTTAAATAGAGTTAATGAGAATTATTTAAATTATTTAAATATAGAATTATTGAATTTATGCATCCGTGGATTGTTGGCTCATTAATGGCCCAAAATATTTAAGTGTTTTAAAAAAATGAGTTAAAGCCTGTCAAGTCATGTTAGATCTAGCAACATTTTGTTTTGCAATAACAATTTAAAAGGTGTTGTCCAATATGGGAACAAGTAAACGTTTTTCGGTTGTTGCACTTCAAGGTAGTTGAGGAAAAGTACTGATCTCGTATTATAGATACCCTTTTAAGAGTGTCCTCAATCAGCTTTTTCAAAAGCCCTTGACTTTGATATCGTTAGATTAATCATCAAATTTGAAGGAAGTTGTAGGAAGACCGTGAAAATTAAATGTGAAAAATGCAAGAAAAATTCATAAAGGATGATTGAAAAATTGAAACAGTTGTCAAAACAGTCGAATTTGCAAATTATAACCCCAACCTAATACCAAAAGTATTAATTTTGCTCATCAGGCCCACAAAAAGGGGAACTCCAAAATTTGCACAAGTCCAGGCAAATTAGAAACAATGCATCAACACAAGGGAAAATGCACAGAAAATATATATAAGTTAAAAATAGGGAAAACAAGTCGAATCTCAAACTAAGTGAATTTAAGTTAAAATGTGTTTTTACTCTTGAATTATTTTACAAGCAACACCTAGAATCCTAAAAAATGACGTACCCAATCGGGCCCTTGATGTTGGTTAAAAATTAAGGAAATCGAGGAGGATATATGAGAAATAGAGAAACCAAAACAGCATAATATTCTTAAACTGTGAAGTCGTGCTATGGTGGATTTGATGGGAGTATAACACATGAAACCAAGTAGAAAAGGGCCTCCTAAATTGTTTTTTTCTTCATAAGCATCCGCATAAGCAAGTATATGCAATATCTATTCGTAAACCCATATAATTATTTCATTGACGGATGAGAGGATAGACTCGCACCCTCTCTGTTTGTATCAGCTTAAAGAGGCAGCGGCAAACCCACCGGCTTTCATCATTCGCTTAAACTCCATAAAATTGACCATTCCATCCCCATCTGCATCCACTTTCTTGATCATTCTCTTGCACTCTTCCAGTGCCTTCCCGTGTTTCAGCCCCAGAGAAGCCAAAACCGTGCTCAATTCTTCTTCTGTTATGAACCCATCCCTGTTTTGATCGAACACGTTGAACGCCTCCTTCATATCCTCGTCCTCGTCTTTATCGTCCATTATTGATTTGTATAATTCTCCAAATTCGTCAACATCGACGCACCCATCTCCGTTTATGTCAATCTTCTCGATCATTTGGATCATATCCGGATCCGAGATGCGAATCCCCAAGTTTTCTAGGGAGTCGCTGAGCTCTTTCTTCGTGATCTTACCATCCCCGTTCTTATCGAACATTTGGAATACTCGCCGTACTTCTGCTGGATCCATTAATTATTCGCTTCCAGTGCAAATATGCAATGATGATGCAAAAGAGGACAATCGAATCGCAAGAAAAATATATAACGGTTCTCAGAAGAAGATGAAGAATGGGCAAGCAGGTCGACGGATTTAGATGCAGGCAGATTGGCGAACGTTTTGTGAGGTTAGCAGACTGGAACTAATAATTTTTCTAGCTCGGTGTTTTGAACAGATGACATGTTCGTCCTTCAATTGCGTTAAATCATTCGTTATATTTGGTTGGCTTGCGCTGCGAGGTTGTTTGCGTTTAAATGATTTCAGGCGTAACAAATAGAATGCTTGGGATTCAAATAACTAATTACTTGGGTTTCTGATAAGATTTCACAACATGGGCAGTGATCCAGAAAAAGCTATTAATGGGGGCAACATTTATATCAAACATAAATATTAATAATTTTTTTGAAATATAATTATAAATATTGACTAAATAAATTATATGAGAATTTAAAAACATATATAAATTTCATTTCCATCATAAATTTAAAAGATAAAAAATATTTTTTAATAAATTAAAATGCATTGTTGATCCTTTAACTACATATAAGGATTTATTTTAGTCTCTTAATTTTATAAAATATTTTTTGTGTCTTTTAACTTTAATACAGATAGTTTTAAATGAATATTTTTTGTGTCTTAATTTTATAAAATATTTTTTGTTTCTTTTAACTTTAATACAGATAGTTTTAAATGAATATTTTTGTGTCAATTATTATTATTTTAAAAAATTAAATGTAATATGTAAACATGTGATAATATTTTATCAATGTTTAAAATTTTAATATAAAATTTTTTTATTAATGAAACTAATAGTATTAAAATCAAAAGACTAAAGAATTTTATAAAATTAAAAGAATAAAATAAAATTTTATATAAAATTAAAAGATTAAAAATAAATTCTAACCTTTTGAATATAAATATTTGATTAATTTTAAAGAGAATGTGAGATAATTAATTTTTTTTTTTGGGTTTGCAATTTTAAAGGGGGCCAGGTGTAATTTTAACATGAAAATAAGTAAAATTTTAACTTATTTCACGGGGGCAATTGCCATCTCTACTGTGAAAGTAGGTGCGTCCCGAACATGGGTTACAGTATTGGTTTAACTCGTGACAATTACTTAACCTGGATTTACTATTTGTAAAAAGCATTTACCACAAAAATAGATACATTTGCATGTTATCTACTTTTTTTTTTTTTCTGAATGGTAATTGCGCATGGACTGAACAAGGTGAGGCAGTGGGCATTGTACTAACCCGACTTATCACCGTCATCATTGGTCATTACCTTCGAGTCCTTGGCTCTTGCAAGTCGATTAAATATATGCTGTGCGCGCGCGCGCGTCATTTTCTTAGTATCATTTGGCTTCACATGGTTGTTTTTAAAGTCTCTCTCACACACACACCCCCCACCAGTTAAATCAATTGATTTTGTGATTAACGTGAACTTTATCTATACACGTGAACATACCTAAACTAACTATCTCATATTCAAAGTTAAACTTGATTACTACTGTATTAAATTAAGGTAGTTTTCCAATGACTTTTTTTTAAAAATTATGATTATTGTGCATTTGTATTTATATAGTTATATTTATATTTCAAGTTTAATTTTAATAAATAGTTATATTCCTCTTGCATACCTATTATTAAAAATTAGAGTTAAGGTGCTTTTTTATTATTGATTTTTTTAAGAGTATTGGGCATCTTATATTGATAAGTGGGATAATTTTATTTTTAAATTATTTTTTTGAGGACCAAAATACCCTCTTATGTTAGACAACTGTTAACTTTGTTATTGTTTTGTTAACATGACATGTATGTAAAGCACACACACAATAACAAGCAAGACTTTACCATATTTTTTGGTGCTAATTTATTTCTAAATTTTTCTTTCAAAAGCATTTGACATCCTATAGTATTTTTTTAGTAGTATTAGACACTTTAAAATATTATTAAAATAAAATTTAATAAATATTATTAAAATATTAAATATTAATAATTTAAATATTATTTATAAATATTTATCCAAAATTTATAATTATTTTTTAAATATTAGCAGCTCAAACTAAATTTTTAATAATTTATAGATGACTCATAATATTTTATATACCAATCATATTTTTAATATTAATTGAGTTTTTAAAATTTTTTATGTTATTCTCTGTAATTTTTTTAATCAACTAACATTTTTCATCCAAAATATTATTATATAACTCAATTTAATATTTTAATATTTTTGATATTTTATAATTTTATATTGAAAATAAATGGAATGAATCTTTAGATTAATGGAGGGATTTTTCTCCCTCATCTCTTCGTTATTTTCTCATTAAGTAATTTTTTTATAATACGTTAATGGAATAGATGATATCTTTCAGATAAGCATTTTTGTTAATATATTATTTGTCTTAATTTATCATATTTTTATTTTATCTTTAACACTGTAGCATATAAAGATTATTAAATTTGGATGATATAATATTTTGAAGAAAGATTATTGATTGACTAAAAATTTAATAAAATTAAGTAATATCAAAAACATGTATAAGTTTTGACCCACACAAAAGATATAATGATTAGGACATTATTTCAAGGAGAGACTCAAAAATGGAGATCGATATATAAAAAATAATAAGTCATTTATAAATTTACAAAAAAATTAGTTTCAACGGTTAATATTTAAAAAATAATTTATAATTTTTAGATAAATATTTATAAATAATCATATTCAAATTATTAAGTATTAAAATATTTTATATTTTAGCAATATTTAGTAAATTTTATTTTAATAAGATTTTAAAGTGTTCACAACTTTTGGAAAAAAACTTTAGGGTGTCTAGTACTTTTAAAAAATAAATTTAGGAGCAAATTAAAATTAAAGAACATGATTAAAATGTTACCTGTCACTATGCGTAGATCCCACATACATGCCATATCAGTTGAAAACTAAAAAAATCAACGATTGATTAACAGAAGAGTTTTTTGCTCCTCAAAAAATTAATTTAGGGATAAAATTACCTCACTTATCAATATAGAATGCCTAAAGCTTTTTGAAAAAAAAAATCAAGAAAAAAAATATCTTAACCCTAAAAACTAATACACAAGTCTTATGTGTTTGCATAAAATTTATTTCATGATCGTTTTATAGATTAGATTTTTATAAATCCAAAAACAACTAATATAATAACACATGATAGGGACGCGGAAGCAGAATCGTGCTAGTTTAGGGACAGAACCCTGAAACAACAAAAACACAAGAACAAAAAAAGAAAGGGACGAAATTTATGACGGAAATAAAGAAAGGGACGAAATTTATGACGGAAATAAAGAAAGGTATGAAGTAAACAATAGGATAATGATCAAGGAGAAGATCCTCTAGAGCACCTGCCTCTAGGAACCTCAATCTTCGAAGACACCACAAGAGTTGATCACGCTCTTGATCACGTTGGTTTCTCACACGGGATACCACCACAAAGCACTAAGGCTCACAAGAGTTATAAACTCTAAAATGAATAATTCTATTCAACTTCTGTGTTGCTTACAATAGGAAGCATGCCTAATTTATATAGGCTCATAGAAAAATATTTCCTAAAATTAAAACCCTAATTTCCTAATACTAAAAGGAAAAATAATATAAAATAATGATAAAATATTCAGCCACATAATTTAGGAGATGTGATCCTAAAATTATGGGATTACAAAATTTAGAAATTAATATTATAATTAATTCTAACCTTTGACTAGACTCAGAATAGAAAATCAAATCAAAGGACCATTAAAATAGGAAATAATTTAGGAGACAATCAAGGGATCATAAAGGATTTGAAATCACGCCACCATTGACTTCTTTACTAGGGTTTCATGCCTCCTTGCATGCAAGAGGCTCAACTTGTAGTCTTCCTTGCATTGGGCTAAGGTCTGCATCTCTTGGGCTTGACTCTTCATGAGTTTGGATCTTAAATACATTATACACGTATAGATGCCCTCATTTGGACTTGAGGGGAGTGCCCCAATGCTCTCAAAGCTCTTGAACTTCTTGCACAAGACTGAACAAGGCTTGCTTCATGGCTTTGGTTCGGGCTCTTGTCATTGGACCTCCAATATGTTGCAATGGGTCTTTAGGTACGTTGGATTGGAAGTATTGGCCTCCTTCTATGTCACCATGCTCATGATTACCATCCTCAGGCTTCGTTGCCATTAATGCTATGTCACCCGTGCCATGAGGTCCATCATACATGATATAAAATTATACAAATTAGATTGTGATATCAACAGCTAAAATAAATTGCACTACCTTATCTTCTTCCATAAAAAAAATTGTGCTAACTTATATTACTAATAATGTCACATCCTATAAAATTTCAAGTGATCTCTCATTCACATATAATCATGCCTGAGACTTATTTTTAAAAAGGAAAATTTATGTTTAAGGCACTTATATCTAGTCAAATTAAGATATATATATATATATATTATATGATATTTTTCATATTTTTAACACACTATTTAATAGATTATTATTATTATTATATTTTTAATACGTTAAAACACATTAATTTTAATTTAATTGAATAAAAATATATTAATTATTACTTGATCAAGTATTTTGATGTTAAATTTATAAGTATATATTTTTAAAAAATATGTGAAGTCGGATGCAATGTATGCAAAGCGTTTCATCCAAAAAGGAAAAGAAAAGGAAAAAAAAACAAAATGCATATAAGCATTTTCGCTGGGCAAAAACCCAAATATCCGAGACGTGCAGGGGAACGATATTTTGCAGGCGCGAGGGTTTCTCACATCACATATCCCCACAATCAAATGATTCAATTGTCTGCATTTTGAAGTACGGAAGCTCGCAGGTTTTATTTCCTTTCTCTGTTTCCTTTCTCCCTATCTGGTTCCATGCACCGTTTCGTGGAATTATTTCTCCGGGGCGCGCATCTTCTTTGTTAATCTCGTTAGAATATGTTAGAATTATTTGATTTTTTTAGTTTATATTAATATTTTTCGCATGATAGCTGAGGACGCGGAGTAGGAAACACAGATTAATTTACGTTATTAGCTGGCTTTGCTCACGCTACTGCTTAATTCAGTGAGAAAAAGATATGAAGGTTTTGTTCAACTGATGCTTTGTGTTAAACTCTTATCAAGATTCAAGAACCAGAACGATGCGGGGATTCTGCATATTAGATATCGGGTTTTTCTGATCTATGAGTGCGTTTGGGCCTTCTTTTTACTAACCGTGAAGCAGAAGAGAAGGAAAAGTAATAAAACCCTTTTTCTTTTTCACTCTTTATCCCTTTTGTTTCTCTCTCTCTAGAATTAGGTGCACATGAATACATGTTCGTTCTGAGAGAAAGCTCAACATTTTGTGCAAGATACTAGTGATTCAGGGTGAACACATTATTAATAGTAATATCCTCTGTCTTTATTCACCTGTAAATTGGGGTTTGGAAAATGCTTGTTCAGCATCCATGACAGAATTTTCATGTTCTTTTTCCTGGCGTCTTTAATTCCTTTATTGAGTTGATTGTATTAATTACATTACGATTGTATCACCTCAAAATCTTCATATGATGACATTGCATAAGGGTTAAACAATATTCTTCTGCATACTTCTAATTTTTTTCTTCTCAAATTAGTAGCTGGAAATTGCCTGATTTGCTATCCCTGATTGTAAAATTTTAGCTTCTCCTTGGTTGAATTATTCAGAATTTATTAGTACCATTAAACTTTTTTCTTTACCTTATCTTTTCCATCAAGGTCTTTGATATCTTGCATCATTGACTTATAATCCTCGGTTTGGTGCTTTATTAGACCTGGCATGATGGACTCAAACTTGCAGCCTCTAACACATGACAATACTGATACAAAAAATGCATTTCGCAAGCCTTCTGGTGATGCATCTCATAGGAATTATCGCCGTCATTCTCCAGCTGATGGATTGCCATCATCTGACGGTTGGAATCTTTTAACTTTCTGATTTCTTTTAGCAGTCACAATGCTCTTTTAGTAAATCATAATAATTTTGAGTTGGTAGGTATCTGCGTTCTACAATCTGTGTTGGTGTTAAAAATGGCCACACACACACACATCCTCCATGTCATTCATCTGTGTTGCTTTATATGCTGTAACTTAGATGACTAATGATGCTGCTGGGCTTCTTTCTGTCATGATGAACTCACTGGAGTTTTGAAGGATTCTAAAATATGTTATCTTCTGGTGATGCCCTTCAAAATGTAGACTGGTGCTAACCTTGATGAATGGTGATCCTAGCCCCTATGGAGATCTGTGTTTTCCATTGCCAAATAAAATAAATTTGTGGGCTCTTGAAGTAAATTAGGAAAATGGGAGTGAGTTGGTGGGGCTGTCTAGATTCAAGTAGATGTTTTGAAGGTTGCCTCTCCAAGTTTTCTTATATTGCCTGTTGATGTTTAATTGGGATTGATAATATTTTTGCACTATTAATGCTAAGCTCTGCTAATGAGAGTTGTGTTTGATACTCTTATTCACATTCAGGTAGCCCTAAGAATGAACGCAGCCCAGATCCAAATCCATCGAGGGGAGGCTCTGTAAATGTCTCTGACTATCATGCAAGGAAGAATAATGGTAGGGAAGAAGACAGAGATTATGGAAAGAATCACCATGGCAGGAGCAGTGATTCTTTTAGACATTCCGATAGACAGTCATCTCGGAGCTCCTACAGCCACTCTAGAAATGAAGATTACCCTAGACATGACAAGTATTCAAGGGGTGATCATACAAGAGAAGGGAGTGATAATAGGTCCAAAGATCATGCACACACTGCCGACAAATATTCTCGTGACAAGCATGATAGGTCAGAGTATAGGGGCTCTGATTATAGGAGCAAGGAAAAGGATAGAGAAACCTTCTCGGAGCATCCAAAATATAAAGGGAAGGATACTTTATATGAAAGATCTGGATCTGGAAGGAAGCATTCTCCATATGATGATGTAGAAAGGGAGAGGCGTACAAGGGACAGTGATTACCGAGATGAAAGAAGAGATTCACACAGAAGTTATAGAGATTACAGAAGTGATCGGGCAGTCTCCTATTCAGAGTCAAGGAGCCAAAGAGATGACTCAGGTTCACGGAAAGACAGTGCTAAATATCGTCTAAAAGAAGCTTATGAGAGTGAACAAAGGGAGCTGGATGGTAAGAAATCTGGTAGGGACTCAGAAAGTGGTGAGGACCTGGATAGAAACACCAGAAAAGCTGGGGAGCAAATCAGTAGTGAAGATAAAGAATCTTCTGTGAAAAAAACAAAGTGTTTTGGCACTGAATATGGTGCGTTTTTTCAAATATTACTTGTACTTATAGCTTCCACAATTTTTCGATACCATTTTTTAACTTTAAATTTTCCTAAACTAAAAGCAGATGAAAGCCAGACTTCAAGTTCAAAGCATCCTCAGGAGAGTAATGTGAATTTAGGGACTACCCAGACCAGTGGTTCAGAATTTGTCAATGATCTAAATAGTGCAAAGGTTGCAGCCATGAAGGCAGCTGAATTAGGTATGCATCTCTTTTCCATTGCAATTGACCTAATTTTGCAACATGGCTTGACCTCCAATGATTGACTTGTTTTCTAAGAAACTTGGGGGTTTGTCTTGAATATATTTTTAACCCTGGTGCACAAGGTAGAAGTGGTTTGAAGCTCTATTATATCTTGTCTAATCTTACTGCATGACTAGTATATCTGATTTTCATGTTGTCTCTGGCTTTTGCTAGTGCAATTTTAGTCTAAAACCACTTAATTTATGTTCTAATTTCTTTCAGAAGCTATGTTATATTCATCTGGAAGTTTTGTTGAATGGCAGTTAACAAAAACCTAGTTGGCGTTGGTTGCTTGACTACTGACCAAAAGAAGAAGCTCCTGTGGGGCAATAAGAAGAATACACAAGCAGAAGAGGTATCTTTGACTTTTTAACACATTTTCCAATTTTTTTGGGTTAATTGTGATCTGAAATCATGTTCACGGTACTTTTAAGGGGTCAAGTTTTATTTTAACCATCAGATATTCTGAAATTTATGTCGAGTGAGTTATTGTCATTCACATGATCTCAAAAGTGATTTGATTTTAATGGTGGAGAAGCTTAACCTGACAACCTCTCAGTCAAGCTCTTCATGGGAAGATCCTTTTCTCTTATTAGGTCTTACTAGTTGAGCCTCAACGTGATTTGTTTACATGAGCGGAGAGAATGTGGGTTGGGTTGTTATGGTTACGGAATATTGAGGTGCTATATTTATTATAACACTGTTGAGCTTTTTTATTTGTCTCGGCATTTGTTTATACTTTATATGTGTGACATTTGCTATAAACTGCTACTCATTCATTTGCTGCTCCAAAAATGCACACGCCGAATGTTATAGTCTGGTCACCGCTGGGATACAGCGCTGTTTTCTGATAGGGAACGACAAGAGAAGTTCAACAAACTCATGGTAAGTCTTGATTGACCTACTGCCCTATTTAACGAGATAATAGCATCAGGAGATATTTTTCCTTTTTATTTAACTTGTTCCTGAATAGTCTGGCTGGCTCCGTTGGAGTTTTCCCCTTACTAACACAGTTTTAGAGTCTGAGGTTGCATTGGTGCCTATGGCCAATTGTAGGGTGTGAAGGGCGATCCCAAGGCGGAGCAAAGTCTCAACGACCAAAATGTGGAGAAGCAGAGGGAACAGCTCCAATTGGACCTGGAGAAGCAGTACACAGCAGGTCTCCGTCGAAGAGATGGCCGTACAGTTGGACTAGGTCTTTAAACTTCCCCTTTAGAGTTTTGCCATCATTTGACCTGCCCTGTGTTGATTGTTACGCTTCCCTGCTCTGGAGGATCTTGTTACTTGTTTGTTTTATTTGGGAGTATGATTTGATGTCAGACTCATGGAGTCTTGGCTGTTGGTGGGAGTTTTCTAGAAGACAGAAACTCGTTTATGCTATGGATATTCTTGTACTTTTATCTCCAATTTTACTCTGTGAGAACTAAAGATGTTTAAAGTAACATTTAAATTCGTAATGGGGTAATTATGTTACGCGGACGCTAATAAATAATGTGTGAATAATCTCTTGAACCAAAATGGTTCAAGGAAGAACCAACAAGTAACGGCGGTCTATAGAGTTTAAATGTGTGTTTGAATTAAAAAAATTTATAATTAAGGTTAGAGTCAATTGAGGTTAGTGAACTGATGTTAGATAAAAAATCGGTGACTTTAACGTGATTTATGTTTGGATAGCTTTTTGTTTTAAAAGTTAATTGAACAAATTAAAATTTATTTGGATGATTTAATTTAAAAGTCAGTAGGGATATATAATAATAAAAATAAGTATGAATTTTTTTGGTTTATACTTTTGTAATTAATTTAATATTTCTCTAAAAAAATATTAAATCTAAAATTACAATTTTTTTTAAAAAAGTAGATTAAAAAAAAGACTAAAATTGTAAGAAACATTAATAAATTATAAATCACATAAGATAATTATAATTATTTTTTATTGTTATAATTTAGAATATTTATATTTAGAGAAATTGTTACAATATTATAGGTATATATTAATTATAATTATATTTAAGTCATATGTATTATAATATAAATTATAATATAATATTAATAAGTTGTAATAATTATAGTATTAATATATATTAATAAAATATGAGACATTGTAACGTTTTTAATGGGCGTTGTGTTGAAAAGTTTCATCGAATAACTTTGAATGTAACACTGGTTTTATTCCAGAAGTCCATTCAATATTTTTTTCATCCAAACAAAATATGAGACGCTGTAATGAGCTTCTTGCTCCCTAATAGAGGTTGGGATCACCTCTAACCTCAGTTGATGAGTAAACCAAATGTATTCTAAAAAGTATAATTATACCTCTTTACTACAATATGACGTTTACCTCCGCAACAGTTGACATTACAAAATAGTCCTCAACAGTCCCCCAGCCAATGTGGCTACACGAACTGTGTATCCCATAGTTGGTAAATAAATTCAATCATTGTTTGACGTGCAGGGTGAGATGTTTTCGGTTTTGGGCGGGGGGTGGTATTTGTTGAAATGAAAAAAAAAAAAGTTTTTTTTAGAGATATAACACATTATACTAAAAAAATACGTCTTCATCGTTCATACGGCCTCGTGGGCCATGGCAAGGCAGTTAGGTGTGTAGATTGATGGGCAGCTTCTCGGCAACAAAATGAACAAAGGAAAATCAGCAATGCAAGTAACCAGTGGTAATTAAGGATGGTACGATTTCTGCAGTAGTGGAGACAGAATTAACACTTACTCGAATGCTTATGAACATGCTTGTAGTGAGCTAGAAAAACTCCAAAAGCATTTAAAAACAGCTATCTAATTGAAAAAAAGTAAAGAAAAATAGCATTTGTCATAGCCATTATTATTTCCTCTTCTAATTGAATTTCCCAACAAAAGATTTGATGCTGAAATTTGTCATTTTCAATGGGATTGCAATTGCAATTACTGGCTTAGGAAATTAAAAATATAGATAGTGTCAGTAATTTTTACCGGAGAGGCAAAATATAATATTTTGCTCTTTAAAGGGTTAAAACTTAAAAGACTTTCTCCTGCTGCTTGTATATTTTTGAGTGAATGTACCGGTCTTCGAATTTTCAGATACCTTCCTTTGGAGTTAGTTTTATCACATGGAAACTAGATTAGATCATCATACCCCGGTGGCATGGGATTGTCCTAAATCGGACCATACTCATCCTCACTTTGCTTTGCATGAAAAATAATCTTATGTTATGTTTGGATAAATATGAATTTGAATTTGAATTTAAATTTGAGTGAAATCTATTTTTGGATAATTAAAAATGTGTGGATGTAGATTTGATTCAAATCTGAATTTAAATGCCACTCAATTCTTTTGTAATTTAAAATCATTTTTAAACTCTTGTTTTTCTCTTTTCCTTTGTGTTTGTTTGTTGATTTCACTAACTTTTTGCCTCTGACATTGTCGATTGGGATTGGACCGATGGCCCCAACGGAGACTGCATGAATGACTTCAACTAGGACTAAACCGCTAGCACCGAACAACCAACTTCGACCAGGATTGAAATGACCTTGATTGGGGCCGGACTATTGACATCATCTTGGATCGAACAGTTGATATCAACCAAGATAAGAATGTCAGCACCAATCAGGACCAAATGACTTACTTTAACCAAGACTGAACTTCTGGCATTGATTAGGTTTTGGAATTTCAAAATTGAATTCACTTTTAATCACCCTCCTCCACCACCTAGTGTTGATCTACCACCATCATTTGATGCTAGTCCACTGCTGTCATTTGGTATCGGTTCACTGCATTGCCTGGTGATGGTCCACCATATCCAACTAGTGCTAGTCCACCACTGTTGTCATTGTTTGGGACCAGTTTGTGATCACCAACTTCTATTTGTCCACCTTCATTGTTTGAAGCCAAACATTAGTATTAACAAGAAATGATTTGGTGTTATCATCTAGGTCAAATCCGCAACTCTTAGACTACTATCATTGTCTCGTGCTAATTCGTAGGCATTGTTGGGACTGGATTGCGGGCATCAACCGAGACAAGACTACCATTGTTAATCAAGATTGAATCATTGATGACATTCAGGTTTAAGGGTTCGAACAACCAGAGTTAATCAAGATTGAGCTGACACCTCTAATCAAGACTAGATCACCAACTTTGATTAGAACCAAATCGTCAACATTTTTCAAGTTGTCTTTAAATTTAAATATAAAATATAAAATTTTATTTAAGATCCAAATAAAGGATTTTAATATTATAATTTAAATTTTTTTATATTATTTAAATCAAGAATTTATAATTTACAAATTTTAAATTTGAGATTTTAAATAAAAAATTTTAAATTTAAATTTTTAACTCAAATCTATCAATCCAAATACAACCTTAAGCTTTGGACCAGAAGCCCTTGATTTATTACACAATTGTTTCAAATGGCTTCACTGTGTCTAAATAAAAATGACGTGGACACACTACCATTTATATCTGTTTAAAAAAAAAAGAACCAAAAGGCGGCTGTTTTATCTGAAATTCTGAGTAAACTGACTGGGATTGGATAAAAAAAAAAATCATTTATCCTGAACTTTCAATTCAACCTTCTTTTTATTTTTATTTTCAAGCTAATCAGTATACAGTAAACTCCTCCCGATGGCCCGCTACGGCGCTCGAGTTTCATATGCCGCAGCCCTTTACGGCTTTATACTTGTCCTTCTGAACGAGCCTCCAAGACGTCTCAGTTTTGGCGAAACTTTTAAGCTGTAAACTTGTTCATATTCACTTTGTTATTGCATTGCAGTAGATCATCAATGTTTTGTCATGAACATCATGATAAAGACATTTGAGCCATTAATTCAAGCAAGTTGGCTAAATTTGGGCTGACCCAAATAGTCAAATCCAGCTTAAATATTTAAATTATTAATTTTTTAAATTAATTTTGTGCTTTAAAATTAAATATTTTTATTTTGTAAAAAATATAAAACATATCTTTTGGGATACACGATATAAAAGACTCAAACTTTTTTAAAATGATATATGGGTCTTAAAATTTGAAAATAAATATTAAAATATATTTTAAATATTATATTAAGATATTTTATAAATAAAAAATAATAAAAATATGATAATATAAAAAAATGTCTATAATAACGTATTCAAATATATGATATCTTAATATAAAGTGGTTTAAAATTTAAACAATTACTCCTTTCATTTAAAAATGTAAAGTATTTTTTAAAAAGTTAGATGTTCAAAAATATAAAGTATTTTTAGTCATTTAAAGTGTAATCATTATCTTTTTTTTTAAAGTGTCGATAATGATTTTATATTTATTATAAGGTATTTAATAGAGATAATTATGAAAAGATGGGGTTAGTTAGAAAGTAAGTAACTATTTTATTATATGAGGTGAGATTTAATTAAAAATATCTTACATTTTTTAATGGAGGGAATAATTAATATTTAATATATTTTAAAAAAAGTGATTTTTTAATTTAAGCATTTTTGCTATTTGGTATGAATTTTTTTAAACTTATTCGAGCTGCTCCAAATTAGTCCAAATATAAAAAATATTTTATTAAACTTATGCCTAAATTTTTTCAGTCTTATTTGGCTTTTCCTCAATTAATAACTCTAAAAAAAAAAGGTACTATTTTTCTTTTTCAAAAGTAGAATTTGTTGTCATAACTCATAATTAACTGTAGATAAAGCTCAAGCTCAAAGTTACTTTAAATTCCATTTATTAACAAAAGAAACCAATGATGGAAGACAAACAAGAAACGCGTCCCAACGTTCACTCTTTGTCCTGGAGAGATGTTGACCAGATTTTAGTTCATCTCGAAATGCCCAGCGCTTTTCCTTTGCATTTCTGAACTGTATATAACTAACTGTATATGATTCGTGTCAAAGGACAAAAAGAAAGAAGAAAAAAAAGAAAAGAAAATCCGTCAGAACCAGCAGAAGCAAGGACCGGATCTTCTCTTGAAGAGCACTGCAGGAATTTGAGATGGTGATTGGAGAAGAAATCTAAAAATGAAAGATTTTATTCACACAAAAACGACTCAAGGATAAATAAAAGCGAGACAAAAGCATTGGCCATTGACTTGGGGTCAATACCACATTTCGCTTTTAACCTAGAACTCAAAAGTTTCCTACTTTACAACGTTTAGCAATCTAGCAATCATTCAGACCTTATACAATGTTTGCTTTATTTCAAGGCTTTATTCCCCATCTCTGGTTAACCCAGCCTGTTCCCAATTGCTCAAAACACCAGATTTTAGTACCTTATCATGATCTCTCAGCCGTCTACCATGGCTGCAACGTTAATATTTGTGGTTCTTGCACATATATTTACGTCGGTTACTTCACTGTCAGAAGCTGATAAGATTACCAGTCTGCCAGGGCAGCCGCCGGTCAAGTTTAAGCAGTACTCAGGTTATATTACTGTCGATGAGAACCAGCACAGAGCTCTATTTTACTATTTTGTTGAAGCAGAATCAGAACCTGCTTCTAAGCCACTTGTTCTCTGGTTAAATGGAGGTATGCTTTTATTTATATACAAAATGCATAAAATTTAAGTCTAAGGGAAGAGAAAGAAGCGGTTGAGGTGCTTTGTGGATTATAATTATGAAGGGCCTGGTTGTTCGTCTGTGGGAGCTGGGGCTTTCGTTGAACATGGACCTTTCAAACCAAGTGAAAAAGTTCTCCAGAGAAATGAATATAGTTGGAACAAAGGTAGTGAAAAAGTTTTAGCTCTTCGAATTGAATGCTACAATTAAGTATGCCGTTTTTTTAATCAAAATCATTCTTATTTACCTCCTTGCTGCAGAGGCAAATATGCTATACTTGGAATCACCGGCTGGTGTTGGTTTCTCCTACTCTGCTAATGAATCGTTCTATGAATTTGTAGACGATGAAATCACAGGTTCTTTCACTTCATTTTACGCATTCAAGCAGTTAGGTAGTACTAGAATGCTCACTGTTAGGCGTGGTAAGCTGGCTTTGTTTCTTTAAGATCTTCGTAACTACTTTTAGGTTCCATATTAGCATGCAATAAAACTCTCAGATATTTTTCCTCTTCGTAAAGAACTGATTGTTCTTGCACAGCAAGAGACAATCTTGTTTTCCTACAACGTTGGTTTGCTAGATTCCCAGAGTACGAAAGCAATGATTTCTTCTTGACGGGGGAGAGCTATGCGGGTAGGTCATATATTTGTATATTAAACAGTATTTTCGTTTGAGCACTACAATTCTGTAAGCATACCCGTTTTCAGGTCACTACGTTCCCCAACTTGCACGGCTCATTGTTCGAACCAAAGCAAAGTTCAATCTCAAGGGGATAGCTGTGAGTACAAAGGAGATTTTTTTTTTTTAAAAAATTAGCCTAATTTGCATTTTATAACTCCTTTCAATGTTGTTATTTGTAGATAGGGAATCCTCTTCTGGAATTTAATACTGATCTAAATTCTAGAGCTGAATTTTTTTGGGCACATGGACTGATATCAGATTCAACTTATAAGATATTCACCACGGTGTGCAATTTTTCCCAAATTTGGAGACAATATCACAGCGAGACTCCGAGTGTCAGTTGTGCAGAAGTGAATAAATTAATACAGAGGGAGGTCGGTAAGTTCGTTAATCAATATGACGTCACTCTCGATGTTTGTTTTTCATCCATAGATATGCAGGCTCAGATGCTAAATCAGCCGGTAAGGCTCATCCTTTCTCTCGATTTTTTTATTCCCCTACCGTTATACAATTAACTTTCCTCTGTTTGCTTTCGTTGGTGATGCAGCAAGAGACAGCCGAGATAGATGTTTGTTTGGAAGATGAAACATCAACATATTTGAACAGGAAAGAAGTACAAGAAGCTCTCCACGCTAAGCTAGTGGGAGTTATCGATTGGTCTGTTTGTAGCGAGTAAGTCTTCATGCTTGAAAGAAAGCACTATCCTAACTCGTTTTTATGGCCGTGGTTTTCCTCCTTTGTTCTGAACTTGGTCTTGCTGGCTTACGTGATTAACACCACCATAATAGGGTGCTCGCGTACGACTATCATAATCTAGAAAAACCGACAGTTCCTATTCTAGGTGAACTTGTTGAGTCTGGCATCCAGGTTTTCGTGTACAGGTTGGTATTGTTTATTCTCTTCAAGATATTGCTTTTTTTTTTTTTTAAACCACCTACCAACTACCATTAGACATCTAGATTTTTTTGTGGGTATTAAATGTCTGTGTATTGACTGCAAGCAAAGTGGTTTGTATGCAGTGGAGATCAAGATTCAGTGATCCCATTGACCGGGACACGTTCTATGGTGAATAAATTAGCCAAGGAGCTAGGACTTAATACGACTGTGCCTTATAGAGCCTGGTTCAAGGGGAAACAGGTTAGTTGCTAGAAAATTTAAGAGATCCTGATAACTTCTGTTACAACTTTAAACACTGACATACCATTCTGCTCAACCTTCTTTGCAAAATTGTTAGGTTGCTGGATGGACACAAGTTTACGGTAACATCTTATCATTTGCCACCATAAGAGGGGCAGGTCATGAAGCTCCATTTTCACAGCCAGAGAGATCACTCATTCTATTCAAAGCATTGCTCGAGGGAAAGCCCCTTCCGGATGCAGCCCCTTCAAGATAAACAAATCACCTATAACCCTGTTTCACCAATCACCTTGTGAAATAAACCAGAGTTTCATAATGAACCATTACTGGAATTGACTATTGCTATAAGAAGCTATCTGATTCTCAACTTGGTCTCTCTCTCTCTGTCTCTCTCTCTCTCTCTCTCTCTCTCTCTCTCTCTCGATATATACATTTATGTGCGTGAGGGCGCGCGCTTCCTCCCCCAACGTAACCTCAAAATCCCCCGGCGGGAAACCACCACACACCCAAAAAAAAAAAAATCTTTCTTCCACACGACCATAATAGTATACAGTAGCCTCCCCCTGCTTTACATTGTAATGGTAAGAGTTAGAAACTTTGGATAATATTCGCACATGCAATCTATGGTCGTAAAAAGAAAATGGCATTACTAAAGAATAACTGTAGGATCTATGGGCCAAAAAAAGTTCCGGATTTGACTAAAATGAAAAGAGGGACTTCCATGAAAAAAAAAATATTTCAAACTCAAACTATAAAAGAAAAATCACACCAGATGACCTTTCAAGAGCATTAATTATAAATAAAAATCAATGTGTAATGAGTTATTGTTAAAATAAAAATATAATTTATTTTTTTTAAATAAAACTTATTATTAATCTTTATATTTAATTAATTTTTTTAAGAGGGTGTTAGATATAATTCTTTCAATTATAATATATATATCAGACTACAAACTTTTTCCCTTTTCTCCCTCTCCCTCACTCACTTTCGTTGCTCTTTTATTTTGCTCATCCACCACTTGATACACTAGAAGGCTAACCTAGCATCCTATTCATTGAAAAAAAAGTTGTTTTAACCCCCAAGCAGGAATTTTTGACTAATAATCACCCTTAAATAGTGGCGGTTGATCTTGATTTGTACGCTAATCCAAAATATTTCACTTCCTTTCTTTTTATTTATTTAATTTAATTTTGGGCCTCAAAATTAGTAATGATTTTTGACAATAACTACTGATCTACTCTCTCCAATTATTTATATAAAGTACCTTTCAAAAATAAAAGCTAGTCCAAATTATAAATTGCCCAGTCAGAATATCAAATAATGTTTCATTTTCATTTCAAGAATTTTAATAGCCTTCTCGTGACCTGAGTGAAGGTATTTATATCACTTTAATTAATAGGGGTATGATAAGAATACTTGGATGTTTTAAAACAAATAAAGCAATACAATAATTTTTCTTAATTCACGTGAAAATGTCTTGAGCATGTTACATTAAAGGCCGGGGAGTATTATGGTTCAACTTGTAAACACGGAAGTGTTTGAGCTTTCCAATTGAATCAATGTCGGTTCAAGCGTGCAACAAAAGTCGACAACAGGGATCTGCATTCAATTTATCAAAACTAGAACAGAATGAGAACGCTCAAAACAGCTGAACTTCTTTATATAATCATAGTTTCGCAGCAGAGGTTGAATCCACTAATTGGTCAAAGGTGAGCAGAACATCAATCATGCAGTGTCCCCAGTAGATCTTCATCACGATATAAATGATACCTGCAATAAGAAATTAAACACATTATAGTCTAATTACTGAGACTTGACAACCAGCATATATTGCAACTAAAAATAACAGACGAGTGTTCCCCAGAACACCCCCCCCGGGGGGGGGGGTGCTTCAGTTTTTATAGCAAACATGTTGGCCAACAAGATAGCTCTTAGCATTCGTGCTCTCAGAAAAAGGAATAACACAAGAAAACAGGGAGAAATTTTGTTGGGGAAGAGGAGGGGAGCTGAAATGACTTTCGATTAGATTGCTCTAGGAACATTGGCATTTTTCATAAAGAAAATGCATTACATATAATGATTTAGAGCCATGTGATTCAAGGATTGTTAGCTTGTAATAATAATAAAAAAATGATAATGATCACCAAAATAATCAAAAAATAATAAGAGAAACACAACCCTAGAGAAACGTGCACGTACTCTTTGTCACCAAGCTTCACCTCAGTTCCTCCATATTCAGGTAAAAGGACAGTGTCACCCTCCTTTACAGCTACAGGAGTTAGCTTTCCCTCATTATCATGAATGCCAGGGCCCACGGCAATAACTTTTCCAGAATTTAGCTACAGCAGCACAAACGCATAATTACCAGGTCATCATAATACTCTAACACAGCAAAAACTCAATTTATTCTTTTTTTTTTTTTTGTGCAAGCCATGAACCAAACTGAGATTCCAGTCCTTCTTCAAAGTCCAGCACCTTTAACCATACAACAAAACATTTACTCTTGATCATGCACCATGGTATGGCAATCCAAACAAAAATCCTTGGTAGATGGTTTTCATCCAAAGCCCGATTTCATAGGAAAAATTTCCAACGCCGTGGTCAACCCATATCTACTGGGAGCTAGTGAGATGTGATGAGTGTATAACGATATGCATTATTTGTTGATTGGTTCCTTTGAAATTGTGCAATTTCTAATCCCATTAGAAGAGAAGTGAGAAGCAGGTAACAACGCCATCCGACGCAAGTTATAGGATTGTAAGTCTGAATATCTTTAATCTGTCTAATTGTCAAGTCAAAGGGACCGTAATGATAGGACCTTTCCTACAGAATACTACTCAGTACTTCCTACTTCCTTCTTTACAGATGTGAACAATTACTGAAAGAAGAAAGCATCCATCATCTAATTTATCTCACAAAAAGTGGACAACATAAAATTTTCAAGGAAATTAGAGACCAGAAACTGATAAAAGCAGAGGTAAACAGTGAGAGGCAAGCTGAAATTTTTAGATCAACACGCAACAACCAGAAGCAAGAAATGAAACGGGTTCGAAATGAATAAGAGGATCCACCTTACTGGATTTCTCAGGTAGCAAAATCCCGGCGTTAGTTTTGGATGGGGGAACGATTTTCTCCACCAAAACGCGATTAAGCAAGGGAGCCAAGCGCTTTGCCATTGTGTAGACAAAAACAGGAGAAGCGAGTAAGGAGTGAGAGGCTGCGAAGAACTAAATCAAACTTCAGCAAACCTTCTAGAGAAATCTAAGCACAGTTAGGGTTTTGCAGGGGTTTTACCTCGCCTGGTCAATATTTACGGTCTCACAAAAAACAACTACTTTCTTTACTGCCAAATAATAATAATAATCTCGAAAAAATAATTTTAGGTTGATGGTAAAAAAATAATAATAATAATAATTTTTTATACTCTAGTTAAATTTAGATGGCCTTGTTTCTTGATCACTTTTATAGTTTCATACTTTCATTAAACAACACCTAAGCAGCTATTACAGCCCTAGATACGGTACAATTATTTGCACTATTCTTGTCCATAAACTAATTTAACTGAGACACACATTTTGTTCTTCCGGCCAAACAGAATTAATTTTATTAATCACAAAAAATTATTACACACATTAATAACCAAAGCCAAACAAAACACTTGGAAAAAAAAAAATCTAACAATACAAATTAACACATTACTCACCGAAGAAAATAAAACAACAACAAACCAGAACAAACACAAGAAAGCAAAGCACAAAACCGGCAAAAGTTAGCTAATACCATATTTAGGAAACTCAGCCTTCCTTCACAAACCTGGCAGCCTCAAACCCAACAGCATCACCATGGAGAATATCCAATAAAGAGAATGGGGCAGACTCCACCGAGAAGCTTGGAACATCCCCTTTTCACCACCAACTGTTAAAACCAGTAGCTCTATTCCCTAGTCTAGAAACTAACTAGGGAGAAGCGTCCTGAATAGAAGACTTCAGGTCCATGGGTACTGGGTAGAGCCAACAAATTTTATGAGGGCCAAAATAACAAAGCATATATAATAATTATAAAAAAATTAAATATATATATATATATTAACATAACATAAATATTTTAATATATATATTTATATTTAATTTTACATATGCATAACAAAAATAAATATATTCATTTATTTTTTCAAATTTTGCTCAATAATTTTTCATAACACAACAATAATTAATTATCATGTTTATAGTAAAATTTTTAACAATTTCATTCTCAATTTAAATTATCATTAAATTGGTAAGAATTCATCTTCCCCATGAGTATTTAATAATTTAAATGCATTATTGAAATTTCAAGTTATGTTCAATCTAAAAATCTCTATTACTTACTTACTTACTAAATTTATTATTTAATTCTTTTAATTGATAATTATAGTAAATAAATATATTAATAAAGTAATGATGCTCAATTGTTACAAATTCTTTACATCGATGATATGTAAATATATTATAATGAAAATCATTCATATAACAAATCTCAATAATTTGATCATTATAGAAAAAAATACTTTTTTAAAAAAAGAACATATCTTAACTATAAGCCTTTGACTTTTGAATAAGTGATTTTATTATAGACATCAGCATGTTCAATTTATCTTGAAATTTTTATGGTAATGTTTGACAAAGTTTTAAGAGCAAAATATAAAACGAAAGAAAAATCAAATGACATTGATGTTTTAAGAACAACTATAATATTATTTTGTTGAAAATAAACAAACTTTATAATAATTATGTCTTCAAGCTATTGAAACAATTAGATTATATATGCATAAAAGACTGCATAGAATTGAAATAAGAATCACATATAGTATTCTAAGGCTTCTATAATGTATTAATTTAGAGAATAAAAAATATATAATCTCTATATTTTACTTAAAAAAAATTAAAAAGTTAGAAAGGACATGCCCCTACTAGTGCCCTATCTCCACCCCAGCCTGAGTTCTTACAACAAGTCCTTGCACTACCAATCACAACCATGAGAAGAGCCCTCCACAAAACCTCAGTCTAATTCAAAGCAACAAAACTGTTTTTTTTTTTTTTTTTGCTTGCAAGTGTATATATTTGTGGTTCATCTAATTTCATTGAACAATTGGATTTAAGTACGTCCCCATGCTACTGCGTGCATGGTACAGATAATTAAAGGGGAAGATGCATATTAAGGGCATAACTACACTAGACTGATTTTAATATACTGAAAAATGTTTTGTGGAGAAAAAGAAAACATTGTTTAAATAATCACTAAAAAAATTTGCTAGAAAATAAAAAAATAAAAATTGGCAAGCTAACAAAGAATACGCTTTTGGGTTCAATTTTTTTTAAAAAAATACGCCTTTGGGATGAACACTCACTATACGATATTGGCTACTCTCGGATGAAAAAATTAAAAACAAACGATTATGTTCAGAGAATCATTAGCAATGAGTTAAAAAATTGTTAAGATCAATTATATGAAAATAAAACAATAACAATAATTAGATGAACCTGGAAAATTTTGTCTTCATGATTATTTTGCACCAAAATTTGTATGAATAAAGTTTTACTAATAATGAATAATAAAGCAAAAAGCAAGGCCCCTGGAGGCTCAAGCAGGCAAAAGAGCTATATTCATAGGTGGGCTGGACTTATGTGTTCAAGTCCAAAAGAAACCCAAAAAAAAAAATAATAAATAAGGAGAAAGAAAAGAGGTGGCGGGTGGATGGACCTATTCATGAAGTGATTGAAGATGGAAATGAGGGAATAGAATTTGATATAAACATAATAAGTGAAGGTTAATTGATAAACTGGATGATTAATGGAGTCAGTCTGGCGTAATAAAAGGGAAATAAAGGTCGTGAGAATGATTATGCTAAAGAGAGAAGCCAAAGGAAAGGACCAGGAGGTAGTAATCAAGAGACAGCTCGCCCCTAATGATGAGAGTTTGACCAGAATTACGATGAACCTAACCATGGTTTACGTGTTTATCCTCCGTTCATGATTAATGAGTTTGGGATGATTCTCATCATATCCCATCACAACTCAGTTTATACGTTGGTTGCTACCCCCTCTCCCTTTGCTGTCTAACGAGGTCATAATTTCTCAGTTTTCAACCGTGAAGTGGATCTACAGTCTGAATCTGGATCCACAAACATGAAATCCAATTCAAGGAACCAAAAAGAGGAGAGAGTGGTAGACTACTGGTAGGATTTCTGTTTGGGGAGACAAGAGAGGGGCCCATCAAGGTTGGGGCATTGAAGCCCATCATGAGGAGTTTCATGTATGTTGGATCTATCTATAAAACGACTCTATATTTAGTTATTAGCCTCATATTTATATTTTTGTTTCAATTTTTTTTTTAAAATTAACCGCTCTCTCGTTTATAGAGAGATATACCATAAATTTGAAAAAAAAAAAATCCAAGTCATTGAAAAGTCGAGTATTAGAAACTTCAAATCTCAATAATATTTGTATGTAAATAGTAATAATTATAGTAATAATAAGGGTAAAAATAAAGGATCAAAAGGCGAGCAATGCTTAAAGGTTTTGGTTTTGACCGTGGGGGGCAAAGGGCCAAAATGTCAAAACCAACAAAACCTCAAATGCTATCTTGCTTGCACAACAAACTGAGTTCTTCGGCCCTAATCATGTTGTTCCTACTCACATCTCTCCTTCTCCTCTTTGCTTCTCAGCTTTCCGTTTCCCCTTCTAATTCTCTCTTCAAACCACCCCATTTTTTGATAGCATCTCATTCACTTCCTTCTACTTTTCTTGTATTTGATTTGCCACTGTTTTTTTTTAAATAACTTTTAGTGCCTTTTCATCGATGCTTTTTATATCTGGTCCACTTCTTTAATTAGTCAAAACATTGGTCCAAAATCAGTGGCTTCATTCAAAATAAGCAATTAATTAGTTCATCATTGTACTGTTTATTTATTAAATTTATTTGTGAGCAGTTCTTAAATAACACTCTCTTAGTTTCTATATATAAAATTTTTTTTAATTGAATTACACAAACAAATAAAAGTTGATTGTTTACTTAAAAGCAAAGTAATGTTCCATTTTTATCCTTAATTATTGTAAAAAATGAATTTATTTCTTTAAAGTAAATTTATAAGTACTTAACTTTTTCCTTTCCAATGTAATAGAGATATAATGGCCTATTTATTAAAGAAATATATTGACAACATCTCATATTTAGAAATAAAAAATATTTTAAGAAACCTTACATACAGGAAGAAAAGAGTATAATAATACAGGGGGAAAAATTATATGGGAGACAGTGTATGTTATACCAACAACTAGAAAGATTAAAAAAGTTCGAATATTGATCGAACAACTAATATGCCGATTTTCTAGTTTATGACTAAATCTATTGGTTTTTGAATCGATTTTCGTACCGGTTTTCTAGTTGAACTGTCCGGTTCAATCGGTTTTATGATATTATGTTTTTCCGGAAAAAAGACACGAGACAAAAGTAAAAATAGTGGTTCAGCTACTGATTAGCACGTAATAGAACAAAAAATATGGGAGAGAAAGGAATCATCAGCCTCCCTAAAGTTATAACCTTCTCGATTAGTGCTTAATTTACATCAACACGGTATAGGACCACTGTTGCTAACTTGCTATGTATCAACAACACTGGAAATCAAAGAACCAATATGAATGATAAAATTAGGGGCAGAAGAAAACACTGGTACGTAGCTGGGTATGCTTTTACTGAAGTGTGAAGTTGAAGTTCCTTGAGTATATCTGGTTGGGTCTGAGTTTATACGGGCGAGGAGAAATCAAAAACTGTCCATGACTTTCATGTAGTGATCCTCTAAAAAAATTAAAAGTGAGCAACAACATAATCATTTCTAAGGAGAAAGTACCCACTACTTCCATTCTGAAATTCACTCCCCCCTCTCTCCTCCATGGCCCACTCCACTTCTTTTCATTCTTTTCTTTCTTCCTTTCTTTTTTGTTCAAATCATTACATGCAAACCCCATTTTTTTATTCAATTCTTCTTTATATACCTTGTTGTTCTGCATATGAGTTTTCTATATCTGCAATTAACTGTATTTATCATGGTATTGAAAATCGGACCGGACCGGCCGGGTCAACCCGAAAACCGGTGAACCGGTCCCCTGTCCGGTCTGGGTTTGCTCTTAACCCGGTGAGGGAGTAAACCGGTATAACCCGGTCAACCCGGGTTCAACCCGGTATAACCCGGTGGGTTGACTGGGTTAACCGGGTTAATATTTTTTCAG